AATTCGATCTAGAAATGCACTTTTTCAATTTTTTTTCAAAAAAAAAGTTGAATTTGACAAACATTGAACGTCAGTGGGTCGCAGTTGGCCGCATCATTTTAAGTTAAATTTAAAGCACAAACTAGTGCCGAAGTTAAACTTCATTGAAGCTTTTCGAAAAAAAAGTTTCCCATATGGTGCGCACTTTAATGGTGACACTGTATATTAGATTGGGGTTCAGCACTGCAAAAATGGCGTACTATGCACTCATAGATTCTCCTTTACGCTACGGAATACCGTTTTGGGGAGCGTACAGTTCAACTTTATTCAAAAGACTACTAATTTTACAGAAAAGAGCAATAAGGTATATAGGAAACCTTAAACCAAGAGACTCCTGTAGAACCTTCTAACGGTAACTGCATTATTTATACTGGAATCTGTGTGTTTATAAATAAGCATATATTGAATTTTGCTGCATCATCTTCCCATTATAACACCCGAAACAGCAGACACACTCTGAAACTCACTCTGTCAACTAAAAACATCACCAGAGACTCCATATTTCACAACGGTAGAAAAATATACAATCTTTTGCCTATGAACATAAGATCTGCCAATATAAATGACTTCCAATTCAGGAATTTAGTCAAACAATTTCTATCTGATAGACCCTATTAGACATTGGATGAATATTTTAATGATAGTCTTTGACTGAGTTACTCATATTTTTTATCTTTATTAATTAAGGAGCGCCTAAGTTGTTACTTTTTATATCTACTCTTTTATAAACTTGACTTTTACTCTTTTATACATACATATCTTTTATATCCTCCATTTTAACATAGTTTGTACCCATGCACCATTTTTATTTTCATTTTTTTTAAGTATTTACTACCCAAGCTTTGTCTACAAGATTATGTCTTATGATAATAAAGCATATTATTATTATTAAACCGGAGTGTGAGTACGGATGGACGAAGGCACCACTTATGGAGACGACATAAGACTCAATACACAAATATCAATGATAAACGAGGCTGGTCTTCCAACAGGGACTTCTGAACTTTGACAATTGATGACGGCTATCTTGCTTGAGCTTCATCTGTCAAATTAGTTGTCATTTATTCAGTCTGTTTCGCCCAATAGCATTCAACGGCACGTCTTAGTGATAAAATTGTTTTATCAAATTGGGTGTTCTGTTCGGGCAACGTACCGCACGCTTCGCCTATTTTACGGTCGCCATTATCGTCCTACCGAGGGGACTATTCGCAATGTTGGTGGATAAATTTGAGTCCACTGATTCAGTAAACGATTGACCAACGACTGCCAAAAACATCGTCGCTGTCTGTGAGAGTGTGCAGGAGAATCCGAGGCTGTCGATTTCGCATTGTTCACAAGAATTCGGCCTTTCGCAGGCCATATCTTGGCGAATTTTGGGTCGTGACTTGGGCCTGCACCCGTACAAAATTCAACTGTCCCAGGAACATAGACAACGACGTGTGTTCGCTTCATAGGCTCTGGAGCAGTTGGCAACCGACCTTAAAAAAATCATCTTCGGCGATAAGGCCCATTTCTGAATCAATGGAAACGTGAACGAACAGAATTGCCTCCAGTGCAGAGTCACTGTTTGGTGTGGATTTCGGGCTGGCAGCGTCATTGGTTCATATTTCTTTGAAAGTGACGTTGGCCAGGCCATCACTGTTAAGGGCGAGCACTATAGGTCGATGATTACCAACTTATTTTGGCCTGAATTGGATGATCTGAACACCAACGAAATGTGGTTTCAACAAGACGGCACTACGTGCCACACAGCTCATGACACATGGTCATCTCACGTGAAGGTGATGTGAACTGACCACCAGGATCGTACGTTTTTTCCTCGTGAGACTTTTTCTCGTAGGGTTTTATTCAGTCGCAGGTGTATACAAATAAGCTACAAACCATAGCGGACCTTAAAGCTAACATAATCAATGCCATTGGTCAAATTCAGCCTGATTCATACGTCAGAGTCATGGAGAATTAGACGTTTCGGATGCGCTCCACTTAGTGAAGCCATGTTGGACATAATGGCGTCAATAGGTCTTTCAAACGAATAGTTGCCTTGCAACGATGAAAGTCATTCGAAGTTTCTCTTTGCAATGAACCACGATTGGGAGCCACGTCATCATTTGTGTGGTTTGAGTTTTCTATCATAGATGACGCTTTGGTTAGGGGAGATTTTATTTAAATATTAAGTTTTAATTTATTGAGGCAACAGTATTCTAAAAAAGAATTGAGGTCTTCCTGAATCTTTGAGCAATCTATAATCGTAGTTACTTTTCTAAAGATTTTTAAGTCATCACCATATAATAGTACTTGTGAATGCTTGAAGCAATCTTTCAAATCATTCATAAATACTAGAAACATTAATGGACCCAGATGTGAGGGACTCCCGAGGTTACCACAAATGGAGTAAATCTGTATCCATTTACGATCACTAGCTGACTGCGATTGTGAAGGTAGGATGAAAGCCATCTAAGGAGATCTCCCTGTATACCGATTCCAGAAAGTTTTGGAATAAGAAGGTTATGGTCGACTTTATCAAATGCCTTACTGAAGTCAGTATACAGTGTCTACCTGTCTACCTGTGCTCGATTGTCTAATGCAGTTGAAATGTAGTCGGCATATATTAACAAATTTGTTTCTATAGCCCTCTTGGAGAAAAACCTTGCTGACTTGATATAATAAAAGATAGAGTCATAAACGATGCTGTCAACCAATTTGCTGAAAATGGACAGTTCACTGATACCTCGATAATTTATTACTGAGTTTCTATTACCAGAGTTTTTATAAATCAGGACTAGCAGTTTTCCAAACCTCCGGGAAAGCACCAGACTGCATGGATTTGTTGAATAAGATGCTCAAGGCATAGCATAGACCAGAGGCACAGTTTTTATCGAAGTATGTAGGATAACCATCGATCCCAGC